TAGGCATTTATTCAACTGGTCATTGTTGATGATAAACTCTTGAAACAAGGTTTACCTACAGTTTCACAGAATACTGTCAAAGATTTTGTAAATGTAATTATCTTATGATTGGGTTTATTGTGCTTAGATAAATAAATCTACAGAATTTAACTTACCTGCTTAGAAATAAAATTCTCTCATTTTTAAATAAACGCAATTTTTTGAGCAATTATAGTCTATATGCATACCGGTAACATATAATTTTCCACCCATGCATACCATGGCATTCACATAGGTATATTTACCCCGTGAGCAGAGATACGTTACATTCACACCGGTAACATACAAGTTTTCATTCATCTATCGCATAGCATACACATAAGTATATTCAACTACTTGGAAGTGAAGATGGTCACCACTCCCTTAGAAACATGTTTTAACAACGGACTGTCACTTAGGCATTACATGCATATCACTGGTACAAAGGCTTTCGCCCCTACACTTCATGACATACATATAAGCTTAAGCACTGTTTCAGGTAACATTAATGGTCACATCTCCCTAGTATTTGCTACCAACTCTTTTTATAATACCTTCGACCTGAAGGATTAGGCCAATGATTTTATTGAACATAGAGAAGGCATTATTCATCTTGAGTCCCTTTTGCTAGCCTACGCGCATACTCATTGCATATACTTGCATACATAAATCCCACAAACCGAAACTCATACAATTCTTACACATAAGCGTACACACTGGACAGCCGCGAGCCATGAGAATGAAGCCCATTCAGTCTTGTTTACAGAAGAGTATTGGGTTAGTTCGATCACCGACCGCCTAGCTTATCTAACAAGGTTGCCCCTACTACCTAGAAGACTTATATGGAAGCCTTGAGTCTGATTTAGCTGTCTTTTTGTATATTAGTTCACACTACTTATTGCTGAAAAAGTAGTCCGACATGTTGAAGCATCCTGGATATGAAATTTTTTAGCATCAGCCAACTAATCTACTTGGTTACTTGGAAATTTCATATTATTGTTTAAATCACATAATCATTTGTTCTTTAATTTCTCATTTAATTTTCAATGTACTCTATGTTTTGTCTGTCTTTAAACAAGTCGGTTATACTTGAAGATAACATCTGATTGGTTCTTATTTATTAATGATATTATTCGTTGGCACAACCTTTTGTTTTCCAGTTCATGATGTAGTTTTTTATTATTTATTTATCTTTAGAGCAAACGAGATCTAAATACCGTGGCTGATAAATACTCATCTCATGATTTAGTGTTTGGATATTCTCTTTGTTTGAGTAACAGATATCATAGAAGTTGTTTGGGTAACAATCAGTTTAGTTAGACGACATACTGTTTTGATGATAAATTGTGCTAATCAGTAGGCAAGAATCCCTGAACCTACGTTTTTCACCAGATGGAACTTAGCAACAAGGTTTTATCAGTGATTGTGAAGTAACTAATACTAACGCGTACTATCTAAGGTTCAAGTTTTCCTGTACATCTCCTCCAACAATCTAACATCAAAATATTGTGTACAGGATAGGGAGTCACCTATGCCAGTAATTACATTGAAACGTAATAGATAAAGCTGGTGTGGCTCAAAAGAACGCATGAATATAAAATTGGCTACTTCTTAGTGACCTGTTAGTTTAAATGTTACTGTTTATCACAAGTTATAATAGAAACCTAAAAATCTCTTAAATTATTTGTCCACTAATCAATTTAAAAACGTTGTATGTTATTTGTAAACCTAATTGGCCAGTCAAACCAATTGATAATGAATTTAGAATCTTTCTAGGATATTCGAAAAGACTACAGTCACCAGAGTTCATACACATTAATGATCAATTCGGTTCACAGACCAGTGGTTGAAATGTAGACGTCTAATTTTTCTCGATTTCAATTTTAAGTCTAGATATAGTTTTTTTGGAAAGTTGGACAAATTGAATTCGGCAATACTTAAAATATCGAAATAATGACAAATCTACTATTATACAGAAAATAACATAAACCTGAAGCTGTAAGTTGAAAGATGAACGTTCAGTAGGATTTTTAAACAGTTCAAACGTTTGACAATTGCAAATCTTAAAACTTTTTCTTAGTTATGATCGAGCACTATCAATGACTTCGCACTGTAAACATCATACTCTAATATTTTAATCCATTCGCTATTGAATAGTTTGCTTATTTTTCGCGAAGTTATGAACGACAGGTTCTGGTCTCAAAAATCATAAACATGGAAATTGTTATGCCCCGATAAACATAATGAAGGGTAACTTTTGGGATCCATTTATGGACAAATACTATGCGTATATTTTTATCGTATAATTGTTAATTAACTAAACTATTCATAATCATGTCCTTCTTAATATGAGCTTTATTATGACCTATGAACTATTATTCTATGATTGACCGTTCTTGAATTATGCCCTGTCTATTAATTACTACCTCTCCCATCCACAGTCAAATTTGGCTAATTCTTGTACAAATGTTGTTTCCTACTTTGTGGTAGGAGGTGGTCTGTCTGGTTGGTATATAAACCCAGTGTGTTTGAAATAAATTATTCATATTGCAGAGGCTGAAATTGGTGTTCTGGACTTAACTGGCTGGGCTAGGTAGTAAGCAGGATCGATAAGTACTCTAGACTGCTCGCACGGGTTTTACGCGTCACTGGTCTAATAGATAAATTACTGTTCTCTAACTGGCGGTATTATCACATTATACAATAACAGGGCTCACAGGCTACAAGTTGTAACAGAAATAATATCTGAACATTGGAGAGATTAGTGCATACTGAGATACGGAAACTCACACTGTGGTTTCGCTATTACAGATACCCAAGTAACTTTCATTGTGTGCACACTCCAGTTCTGAACATTGTTAGTCATATGTCCAGTAACTACTTGTTAGTAGTTAAAATCATGTGAAAGACTAATCATGTACATAAGGTTATTCAAAATCATAATGCAGGGAAACATGCTAAGACGATGTCGAAAAAATTCCAAATTGAACACAATAGACATCAACATGGTTGTTCCAGCATTCTCATATATAACGTCACTAATTTAACAGACAAAATTTCCATTAAAATCAGTCCTACATTTACAACACATAAATGTACTTTAGACTCAAGTAATTAATGAAGAGAAAAATACTAATCAATTTAATTTCGTTGGCTTTTAATGAATAAGACTATGCGTGTTTATGTATCTTCCATACAATCTTGAATACATAGAAGAGAATAAACAAAACAGACAACAACTGAATAGTTTCGTTGAGATGACTTTGTTGTCTGCCAGTTCTAATTAAAATTAGATAAAAGAATAAAGGATTGTTTTCAACCAGAAGTGCTTAGACTTTACTCACAAAGGTCATGTAATTACGCATCACTGAATTTTTAAAATATTCCATGATAATTAAAGCAAAACTAACAATGGAATCTTGTCAGTTATCCGCATAATTTTAACTCATTATTATAATAATTATTTACTGTTTAGCTCATTTTCATATGAGTTCCGATGAGATATATAGTAAAATGTGTGTCATAAATGGATATTGTATATGTTCCCCATATTGTTGCAAAGTACACGAAACATAGTGAACGGTAAGTAGGATACGTGTACACTGCTTGAGAATATTGGTCACTTGTATTATACCTCAACTCAGTCGAGTTCCAAGATGGAATGACATTTATTGTCAAATGCTAAATTGACTACAAAATTCTTCGTCTCTAACAACCATCGAAATACCTACATCAGATAGCGTAAGTGAACGCATCAGTGTAATATCTTTCAAGCTTCCAAATAATTTATTCAAAGATCATTTACTGTCAGATTAGTAATTTATTGGGATAATTTAATTGAAGGCAAGCAAATATTGTAGATGAATAAAATAATAAGAGAATGGCAACATATTTTGCACATACACAAGAATTAATTAAATAATGTTGAGAGTTTTTATAATCATAAACTGTCGGTTGTCCAAACGATCAGCTTCACATCATCATCATTATCATCACCATTGAGGCATGTATTTAAGCTGTGGAGAAGAAAGGGAAAGGGCAGATGATTACGTGACATGGGTAATAGTAAGAATGAGTATTTATGATTAATTCTAAATGAACGTGTGTCGATAACCGAACAGCACACATTCTGATTGAATGACAGTTGTTTTGTGTAGCAGTTGAGTGATTTCAGGTGTATACGTGATTGACGAATAGTTTGATATGCACCAATGTGCTGATAACTAACTGTAGAGACTAGTGGTGATGTCCAATCACCTCGTTCTCGTTCATTTTACATGATATGCTTAATAATAATATTCTGTGTTATGTTTTGGTCATAGTCATATAATTTCTTTGTAGAGATTTAAATATTGTGTGGATATAGTTTTAAATCATTACAAAATTAGATGATATAAGCTTTTCAGCTTGAAGAGTCCCAATTTTTTACAACTTAAGAATGACTTGATTGATTGATTTTTGATACAAATTATACAGTAAACAGTTGAGATGACTACCATTTTTTAAACATTGTGTCGATGTTACTGTATGCGCTTTATATGTGTATGATTCGATATTATTTCATATGCAGAAACAGATTTACATTTCATTTGTCAGTGGTAAGAGTGTATTCTTAGATTTATACTTCCTTGCTTTTACTCAAGATTTAAACTCATTACCATTACGATGTGATTCGAGTTATTATATCACAATTTTCAGTGAAGCGACGATATTCATTGATGTTGGCACTAATCGCTGAAACCCAAAGTAGTGTGAGGTTTGCAATGTTCCATGACGAGAAATAACCTTACACTGGCTCATACACAAACCGTGCTTCTGCTAGATATCTTAAAGTAAGCGTATAGGTGTTTTTCGCAGATTTAAGTGATAAAATTTTGTTGATATTCATTTACAAGTATAAACTATAAGTTGTAATCTTATGAAAGTTTTAGCAGCTATTATGATTTCTTTGTTGATATTAATATTAAATTTTTATTCTCATTTCAAGCCGTAAACACTTTGTAATGAACGTTGACTGAGGCTAGAACTTTAAATGCATAAATACTTTCCAGTTCAGTTACCTTTAGTATAAAATGAAAAAATGGAGATTAAAAATTGACTACATTTCAAAAACATACAAAACCAATTCTGTCCATGTGTGTAAAACACGAAACAGTATGTTATTTGATCAATAATAATAGCGTCTATTGGGACTTACTAACTGTGAAACTATGTGGAGCGCTCATGTAAACGTGAGTTTCACTGTCCACATGACTTGGGAAAGCATATACAGTGTATGTTTGCCCATGTTTTAAACCAGGAATCTTCATTTCTTCTCCCTTAGCTAGTTGCATAATTGTTGTATCTCCATATAAGTTAAATACTAGTATTTTGTTTTTGCAGTTCTCTCGATCTTGAAGCTTCCAACGCAACGTTACGAATAGTGAATCACTGGATTCAGAAACGATATCTGAAATCCTAGGTGCACCTGAAATCCGGAACCCAAAAAGATAAACAATGGAGACGGTTTATCATTTAATATTTTCAGTGATTGCTGTAAGTAAATTAAAGTATTCAAAATAGTCACAAACATGTCCTCATATGAACAGTCAGTAATAAGACTTACCTAGAGTCTTTTCGAATTCTTCGGTGAATATTTTTCTGAAATCGGTCTCAGTCTTCAGCTTCTTAGATATGGTAAATTTTAAAACTTGTGGTATACACAATGGTATGCCACACAAAATCACTTTGTTTGAAGTAGATACTGCTTTTAACTCCGTATTACTGGGTATTTCCAATTCATATTTATAATCAGAATCAGGACTTTCTTTATAATCGACTTTAAATGTAGCACAATCAAATGCATATGTTCTTGTGATGTCTGAACTCACAACCGCTTAATGTTTCAAAATTCCGATGAGAAAATATAGAAAATGGAGAAAAGGAACTAGAAATGATTTACGTGGAATAAATTATTTCAAAACATTCTGTTACAACATATAGTAAAGTAGACATAAAAACAACGATTATTGTGATGCTGTGTGGTACTGAACATGTCAACTGAATGTCAGATTTCTTTTAGTCAGTCTACTTAAACAACTGTGTAAGGAACTATAACAGGCCACATGTTCATTATGGGGCGTGAACAGTTCGAAAAATCGGTTGGTTTGATTTTTTTAAACTGAATGAAAATTTACAATACAACGTAACACTAACTTTACATTTTTCCTCAGGAAGCCACTACGAAATAGTTACTACCGGAAAAACAACATATATTCAAATTAAATTCCACAATCGACTCAATGTAATACTAATTAAGAATGTAGACTATTTATTTCTGAGTGTAATTGTCGACCTTAAACATCAAAAATGAGAATTACCTTCTGTCAAGGTAATCCGTAGGACGGTTATCAGACCAACAAACCCAAGCAACATTATAATTCTATGTAAGTGATCGTTATAATTTCAATCCAACTTAATATAGATCACATTACGTTTATATATATTTATATATATTATTCTAATGGTGTGATTTTATTTAGTCAAATTATATTGAACCAGACAACATCACTCCACATTACTTTGTTCTTCTTCTCGTGAATATGGTTATTATTCTAATAACAATTTACTTTTCTCACTAAGAGTTATCATTTTTTTATAAAATTATCATGCCACATAGAAGGTATGAATATAGTTTACTTCACAATTAGAGTGGTTGACCCAAAGAATGTGTTGAATCTATAACAGTTCATTTCATATATATATATATATATATATATATATATATATATCATTAGCAGAAAAGATAAATCTGTCTGAGCAGTTTCACTTCAATATATTTTCATTAAACTGATCATTGATTGTATTCACTGAGATAAGTTGTCCATCTAACAAAAGGTACTTACTTGCTTACGTATGTTATCACTCAAGAGGAGCATAGGTCATCAACCAGAACTTTCCATCCAAACCTGTCCTGGACAATCATTTCTGGTTCTATCCAGTTGTGATTCATCCTTTTTATATATGCTCCCAAGTCCGGACGTAGTGTGATTTGGCCTTAGTTGAAGTCGAAATCTAATCGATTCCGAGTTGTTCATTCTATTCCGTGCTTCCCCCCGATGTCGAGGTCTTCAAAATCCAGTGACTCACCAGAAGAAAGAGATAGGGGGAGGGTAAGCAGCCTTGTCTGACTCCGGTCCTCACTTGGAATGCATTCGTCAGCAGTCTTCCATGCACCACCTTGCACTGTAGTCCGTCGTAAGAAATCCGGATGACGTTGACGATCGTCTCAGTTGCACCATAGTGTCGAAAAGGGTTCCATAAGGTCCTCCTATCTACACTGTCAAACGTCTTCTCATAGTCAATGAAGTCGATATATAGTGACGAGTTTCACTCAACTGATTGTTCAACGATGATCCGTAGTGTCGCGATTTGGTCTGTGCACGACCGATCCTTACGGAATCCGGTCTGCTGATCTCGAATTTGGGTGTCTACTGAATCCTTCATCTGGTTCAGCATCACTCCGTTGAATATCATTCCCGGTACTGACAGTAGTGTGATTTCTCTGTAGTTCTCACATTTGCTCAGATCTCCCTTTTTTGTTATCTTGCTGAGGTGTTCTGCATTCCAGTTTGTCAGTGGCACTTGTTCTTCCTCCCAAATCTTCTTGAATAGACCATCGAGCATGTTTGCAGCTACTTATATGTCTGACTTCAGAGCTTCGGCTGGTATATTGTCAGGTTGTGCTGCTTTCCCACTCTGCATTTGTCTAATGGCCATCCTGATTTCTTCGATCTTTGATGGGGTGAAATCTATAGGCATGTCTGTATGTGCTGCTTCAATGTCTGGTGAGTTTAGAGGAGCTGGTCTGTTCAAGAGTTCCTTAGAGTGTTCTACCCATCTACTTCCCTGTTCTTGAAACTCGGTGATTGCCTTGCCTTCTTTGTCCTTGACCGGTCTCTCTGGTTTACCATATTTCCCTTTCAGTTTCTTCTTCGTGTCATATAGCTGTTTCATATTACCTTCTATTTCAGCACTCTCCGATGTCGTTGCTAGATAACCCACATATTTCTGTTTGTCAGTTCTAATGCTCCTCTTCACTTGCTTGTTTGCTTCAGTGTATTCAGCTTGTGTCTTGAATTTCTCTGCTCTTGTTCGGCTGTTGTTAGATGATGTCTTCGTGTTCTCCCTTTGTTGAATCTTGTCCAGGCGTTTGACACGTCGAAGTTAATGCATCTTTGACCTCTTTCTGATAGTCGTCCATCGTGGATTCTTCTTCTTTCGGTAGATCCTGCAAAGTTTGGAACATGTTGTTGCGAGTTGTCTTAAATTGGTTAAATTTGTTAGTATCTCAAAAGAAGACTGTATTGAACGTCTGTACTGTTGCTTCCCCAGTTGTCCAGTGTTTCTGTACATTCAATTTCATCTTGGCTACAACCAGGTGGTGATCTAAAGCCAAATCAGCTACTCTCCTGGTTCTCACGTCTTCCATTATCTTTCTGATGTTTCTATTGATACAAAAATGATCTATTTGGTTCTCTGTGGTGTGATCCGTTGAGACTCATGTAGCTTTGTGTATGCGTTTTTGTGTGGAAATATTTTGCCGCCTATAACCAATTTGTAGAATGAACATGCAGTTCCAAATTTCTCGTCATTCTCATTCCTTTCTCTTAGTTCACATCGTCCCATGATATCTTCATATCCGCTGTTGTCCATTCTGACTTTGGCGTATAGATCTACCATCACGACGGTCATGTCCTTTCCTGACACAGCTTACTGTGATCGATTGCAGCCTCTCGTGGAACTGATCTTTCTCATCGTCATTGCTATCGTTGGTGTGTGCATAACACTGGATAACATTCATCGTGCTTCACTTCTTCTTTGTTTTCAAGGATGCTTGTGGATGCTAAGTGGATGACGTGATGGCGTTTGATGCAAACAGTACTGAGTTGGTGTCCCGGAGTGGACATCAACTCTGGGATGCAGGTACATCTAGCCGACGAGTGCCAAATAAGACGAAACGCGCATCCTGTATTCCACTGTTAGCCACTATCCAATATTGCTTAAAAAGCTTGTCATTTAAAGCTATATGGAGGCAATCCGCACAGGGTGCACATATGCCAACAAGAGACTGATCAATTGAAATCCTAAATAACAATGGGAAGATACGAGTAAAACAATACCAGGTGAGTTTGATGCTTTGATGATCCTGGATCCATGAGATTCTCCTCCTATAATTCTTTTCCATGCTTCTTTGGATAACATCAGAGCGACTATCTGAGTGTGTGGAGCAATTTTCTTTTCGTGATCGGAGTACATTAGCATCTCTCCCATATCTAGAGTTTGCTGTCCAATTTGGGTCCAATGGGTTTTGAGTATTGATTGCAAGTACTGCCAAGTTGTTTCTCCTCATTTCCGTTGCTATTCGACTGGTCCCCGTCGGCCTGTCACATTGTCCGAACATTCCATATACCTATAAAAGTTGTTGCTCTGGTTGTTTGAAGGGGATTCGGCCGCATGACTTCAGAAGAATTTCGCCTTTCATCATTAGGTGTCATGACCTCCAACTTCCAGGGTGGTGTTTGATTGGTTTGAACTATTTTTTCTGGTTGACGTTTTTGGTGAGTTATTTTTCTACGGGATGGAGTCGCTTCAGTCATGTCCAACTCTCCTCTTTTGTGCGTGATCGAGACCGGCGGTAAATCTAGATGAGCTACAGGTAGAGCTGTTTAATAACAGATACTATCTATATGAGTGCTGTTACGATATTTTCATTAAGAAATCTAAATTTCCATCGATATCAAACCGTCCTTAGTCTTAAAATATTCAGAAACAAGGTAAGTGTCAAGGCAAACAGTGTCTTCCAACGATATGATATTTTGTTTATCTAAGTATTAGTATTACTTAGATGTTCTCGTGTTTGTAATAAATGAGAAATGCTTGGTAAATGATTGCATGTTTTACACATATTTCAACAGAATACATTCAAAAGCGTTCACGGTTTTGTCATATTTTGAATTGATAGGCTAATCGTTATTACAAAAGTTTGTTTTGAATAGAACGGGAATTCTTAATTTGTTAACTGTATTTAATTATATCAGTTATTCTCTTAGAGTCTTGATACGATCATGTAATTAACAGTTGGATATTAATTCAAGTGGTGATGTATTTTGGATTGTTTTGAAATCTGATTAATGGTTGTAAGAGATATCAAAGAAGAAAAAGTTGTAATTTGTCTGATTACATTAATCAAGAATAATGGCTACAGCTCACTAAGAAAAACCTGGCTTTTCCTGACCGAGCAATGTCATTACACTATTATTTTGTAAGCCATATGAAAACTAACAACTTTTACTGTAAAGATAAAGCAACATTGCATACAAACGATGACTAATGGGTTACTCATTTCACAGGTGGACATCGAGAGCAGCCGGTAAAATACAAATTCTGTGATCAGCTTTATACTTAACTGTTCAATAGCTTAACAATTTGGTTTAATATATTTAACCAAGAATATAAGCAGATGCACCCGCCAAAATGTTCATTTATAGAGGTGACAGCTGTTTACATAAATTACAAATCTTCTAATGAACTTGAATTTCCGTCCATGAATATACCAAATAACTTTTAAAATTGATTCGATCAAACGTAGACTCATAGCCATAAGACTGCTTATTTAATTGATAAATAATATATTCTCATGAAAATTCACCAAGCCATCAAGGAAATTACTATCTGCTCATTGAGGTGAAGGGTTGACTGGGCATATTAAGTCTGTTTGGTGTAGTGAATATTCATTTTACTGCATGTTAAGATAAAGTTCCTCATCCAGATGTGATTAGTAATGTTGACACTTTCGTTAATGCTTTCATTAACTACAGCATCGTATCACAAATCTCGCATCCAAAAAAAGATTGCACCCACCTATTGGATCAATTTGCAGTTCTATGATTTCGTTGCTGTAAAATATATTTGGGTTCAATACTTAAGATTGTTAGTTTCGAATAGAGTTATCAAACCCACTGAAGTTTTTATATCACGTATCACTGGAAATAAACCACCGAGGTTTGGATGCTGAAGAACAAAAATCTTCATTTTTCATTTATGATTTAGAAACCTCTCTTGACCGACAATAGTTCATTTATATTTATTCGGAAGCACAACTACGAATGAAAAGTGGAAACATTTTCCAAAGATTATTCAAAAACTCAATTGCTCTGTGATTAAAGTGCGAACCATTATCCACTGCTTCTAAACATCCTTATTCTAATGGTTATGGAGAAAATTACGTTAGGATTGTAAAAACCGTTATAAATTTGTTTTCTTCTACGAAATACAGAGAGTTGGAAAGGAGAGTAAATACATTTCCTCACTAATACAGAAATACCGAGGATTTAATCAACTTATCGAAAGGAAAGACTATTCTTCCGGATATAATGTGATTGCAATTTATAGACATTACCTACCCGAGCCGAAATGGTTCTTGACCACCAACTGGATTGTTTGCCAATGAATGTCAGGAGACCATGTATATGAAGAGAGGAGAGTAAGTATATTCCTACTTCAGTATATTCCTACTTCAATTGTTAATTATAAAACTAAAGATTTAATTTTAGACAATTTAGAAGTGACTTTTAATACCGATTCAGACATTCATTCGATGAATGTTTGGAAGCAACACCAAGTGAATCACAGTGATCCTTACTAAAATTTAGGATGTAGTGGATGATTTACAAATAACTAAGCCCTTTATTCACATATTTTCAACAGACTACTTTTGTATACGTTTACAGATTTTTCTGTCTTCAACCGTGGGTTCATTCGTAATTGCTAAATCACGTTTGGTATATGCAATTACTTACACACAATACTACTGGCTATTCTAGGGGAATTCATCTGTTTGACAGTAAAATAGACGATGATCCATAGGACCAGACTGAAATCGACTAAATCAGAATCTCCTGAATAAAACAACAAGCGTAGTGGTAGTTAAGCGAAGCCAACATATCAGTGGTTTGAATTGATCAGACGACCAAATACAACTATAAGGTTACATATGGAGTTACATATAGAGGGATTGGATCCTAATATCCAAATCCTTTGCGAAAGAATGTATCATGGTTAATTACTGAGGAAGCTGAGTTGGAAATCATAGAAAAGATTGTTTCTTGTACCACAGTAAAATTCAACCCCATTTGATTTTCTTACAGCAAATGATATCTGAAACCAGTGATATCAGGACTGCGCTAACTGACTTTATTAAATGTAATGTAAAAAAACAATTAAATTTTGGCGTATTAAGAATATTGCAGTGTAGTTTTATTAAGTTGTAGATTGAACGAGTCAAACTTAAATTGCAATTCATTTTGTATTGTTTGTTTGAATCTTTCCATTGATGTTTAGGACTGCAATTGATCAGTCTCTTATTTACATATATGCATCCAGTACGGATTGCCTTGATATTGCTTTAAGTCACTAGCATTATGAGCAAAGATGGATGGTGGCTCTGGGATGCAGGTTTATCCAGCTGACGAGTCTCGAGTAGGTAAAAAGGAATTCCTTGGATTCCACTGCCAGACACCATCCACCTTTGCTTAGACAACAATAATTTTGTCACGTGTTTATGAAAAAAGAACTTGAATTTTGTTTAGTTTCATCTTATTGAACTTAAAATTAGCACCTGATACTGTTCTAAAACGTACAGAGATAATACCGAACTGATTATTTTGTCAACTGGTGTGTTTTCCATTCACTTTAGATTACTGTCAAGGATCAAGTATAAAGCCGAATTGATGAACCGTAATAGAGTGACAGCTCATCTAAATTTTGTTATGGAGCAACTCGCTGATCTTAAGGAACAAATGAATTTCAAAGCTTTATGGCAGATGATTTATGGTTGAAACTATAATCCGCATCATTAGTTTATGTACTACTTATTTTAATTTACATCGCAATGATCCAACTGAGGCTTGCATACTATCTCGAAATATCTACAAACAATGTATCTTCCATACAATCTTGAATACATAGAAGAGAATAAACAAAACAGACAACAACTGAATAGTTTCGTTGAGATGACTTTGTTGTCTGCCAGTTCTAATTAAAATTAGATAAAAGAATAAAGGATTGTTTTCAACCAGAAGTGCTTAGACTTTACTCACAAAGGTCATGTAATTACGCATCACTGAATTTTTAAAATATTCCATGATAATTAAAGCAAAACTAACAATGGAATCTTGTCAGTTATCCGCATAATTTTAACTCATTATTATAATAATTATTTACTGTTTAGCTCATTTTCATATGAGTTCCGATGAGATATATAGTAAAATGTGTGTCATAAATGGATATTGTATATGTTCCCCATATTGTTGCAAAGTACACGAAACATAGTGAACGGTAAGTAGGATACGTGTACACTGCTTGAGAATATTGGTCACTTGTATTATACCTCAACTCAGTCGAGTTCCAAGATGGAATGACATTTATTGTCAAATGCTAAATTGACTACAAAATTCTTCGTCTCTAACAACCATCGAAATACCTACATCAGATAGCGTAAGTGAACGCATCAGTGTAATATCTTTCAAGCTTCCAAATAATTTATTCAAAAATCATTTACTGTCAGATTAGTAATTTATTGGGATAATTTAATTGAAGGCAAGCAAATATTGTAGATGAATAAAATAATAAGAGAATGGCAACATATTTTGCACATACACAAGAATTAATTAAATAATGTTGAGAGTTTTTATAATCATAAACTGTCGGTTGTCCAAACGATCAGCTTCACATCATCATCATTATCATCACCATTGAGGCATGTATTTAAGCTGTGGAGAAGAAAGGGAAAGGGCAGATGATTACGTGACATGGGTAATAGTAAGAATGAGTATTTATGATTAATTCTAAATGAACGTGTGTCGATAACCGAACAGCACACATTCTGATTGAATGACAGTTGTTTTGTGTAGCAGTTGAGTGATTTCAGGTGTATACGTGATTGACGAATAGTTTGATATGCACCAATGTGCTGATAACTAACTGTAGAGACTAGTGGTGATGTCCAATCACCTCGTTCTCGTTCAGCTTACGTGAAATGTCTTTCACTCATAGAATTGATATATACTTTTTGTTTACTATAACTTTATAGTTCTGACCAGTTAAATTGTCAAACATACTGTCATAACTCATGTACTTAGTGAATGTGACGTATTACCCGAAATGGTGAATACATGTTGAAGCAGTGGTATTTCGGCAACTTACGAACTTTGATATTAAGCCCAGCGGACATGTATACAGTGGTCTCCGTGTCCACGTGATTTGGAAAAGCGTGTACGATGTAGGAACTGCCTGATGTTAAAAATGGAACCCTGATTTCTTGTCCTTTAGCCATCTGAATAACCGTTTTGTCGCCAAATAGAGCGAATTGTAATTCTTTATCCTTGCAGTTTTCGTAATCTTGAAGTTTCCAGTTAATGATAGCAGTTTTGGCATCATCGAAACGTACTTTCATTTCACTGATTTTAGGTGCTTCTGAAATGTAAAAATATATTTGTGATTATCATGCTTTCATTTCTGACGACAACGATGTTGTCTTAGAGCAGTGTATTTAAAACTCGGCAATTACTTACTAGGTTAGCAAATAACTCTTGGAATATACATTATTTGTTGGAATACTTACGTAAAGATTTTTTATATTCCTTTGAGAAGATGATTTTAAAATCTCTGTCATTCTTTTTCTTCTCATAGATTTCGAATTTTAGAACTATCTCTCTACACATTGGTATTTCACACAATTCCACTGTATTTGAAGTTTCCACTACCTTCGGGTTCTTCCAACCCACCAACTCTAATTCGTATCTGTACTTGCTGTCCGGATTTTGTTCAATATCCACTGTATATATAGCGCAATCATATCGATATTTTCTTTTTATATTTGAATCAGTCACCGCTTAACATTCCAAATTTCCAACGGTGAATATATGAAAGAGGAAAACACATCAACATGAATACTGTAAGTTGGTGTGTTAAACTTGATAACAATATATTGGTTAGCAAAATACATTGGATGAAAATAAGGATGATTATTGCAATTCTGCATTATTTGAAAAGGAAGTCAAACAAACGAATAATATTTTTATTAATTAATACTAGACGAAATAGCTTAATTTACATTTTCAAAAGAATAACTTGTCTTCAGAATAACTTTATTTACTTAATTGAAACGAAGTCTTCTTCAAATCTATGCTTGACTACGACACTCAATCTGTTCGTTTTAGATTGTGAATTACCTCGATTATCTAACCACCATGTTTACTGTCGATAAACAACACTATACATTTTATCTCTGAATTTCATTTTCACAACAGCAGTATATACTAACCACTATTCTTGCCTGATAATAATCAAGATGATGATGACAATAAATCTCGGACATTATAGAAAGGAATTACCTTGTACCAATGTAGTCAGTAAGACTGTTATTAGACCTACGTAACAAAATATCATTCTATATAGATATGAATAAGTGCTTTGATAATTCCTCAGTTATATATATATATATATATATATATATATATATATATATATATATATATATATATATATAAACATCATTCTGGTGGTATGATTTTTATAGGTCAGCAGGTTTCTTTTAAATTTCTTCATTGTTTATCAGTGGTGTCATTACTATTATTATTATTATTATTATTATTATTATTAAAACGTTATTTTGTCTCTAAACAATTAAATATTTTTCTAATTATCACACCATATACGAGACTTGAATAAAAATGGTTCATTAATCAAGCAATGATGAAGAGAAATAATGTAGTGAAATTTAGTGAATATCTATTATTCTTTAATAATATTACAATTTTTAAAATGAAGCTAAACTGACGTTATACAGGAATGGACCTCTTATTCTGTTTTATCAATGCTAAATGAATAGGCATGCATTAAGTTTAATATGAATGTAAGCACATTGATTGAGTGTTAATTTGACAATATTTACACATCCATCAAGTTCTAGACTAATGTCTTACAGCAATACAGACTTCTGATGATTTGAAAAAAGTTTACTATACATTTATAATAAGAAACATCTAACGAATTTTTTTATGTCAATAGTTTTATTAAGATACATGTTTGTGTTCACAAATGTAAATGATTATTGACTTATATTAATTAAGTTAAAGCCGACACATGTTAAATATTTAAACAAAGTAATTGTGAATGTAATTTAACCAAGCTAAAAAATTGTAGACTATAACTTATCTGGCATACAATCAACATTTTGAACAGTGAACACTTAAACTATACATCTGTTTTAAAGGTGAGTATCTACCTTGTCATTTTCTTACTTTATACGTTGAAAGTCACCTACTTCTCTCGATACGGTTATTTAATCTTTGCCAGTGTCTCTTTATTAATCACTACTTGAAGGACAGTTCATCATATGTGTTGAGGAGTTTACGATCTGTAAAGATGTATCATACGCGACAAAATCGTTTATACTATTGATTCTAATCGAATCAGTCAAATAGCTGAAAATATAATAAACGTATTGTATATTGGATAACACAAATGTTTTTTCGTAAAGGAAAACAGAGCGATTACTTTGTAGCATGTATCTCTGGTACATTAGTACAAGTTTTGCTAATTTTTCAAGGTTTTATTATCTCATTATCAATATTATTGTTCATTTTTTCAGCTCGGGCACCAGTTATATGTAGCTGGACTTGCCTTTCATTTATATATAGTTCTGAGATAAATTAGACTCCTTTTACAGATTAAATTTCAATGTAAACACAAAAGTGATATTCAAAGCAAAAGTAAACCCTTAAGTGTTTAGATTACTCAGTGTACCTTCCATGTCTAAAACATGCAATCTATCATCTTAACACCCACATGCAATTGTAATTGTAACACCTTTTCGGTACTTCCGATCATGTTTACCATTTTATTAAATAACCATAATTCTACATTTAGCAAAATTAAGTTTAGTACCACATTTATTCCGACAACAAGGCTTGGTTTTGGGATTTTATCAACATTGTGAACTTAACATGCATTTTACAATTTAAATGCTCAACATTTTAGTCTATTACTCCTTTGTTGAAATAGTTTTTGAGTGCATTATGTCCGTTCAAATAATGTAGCCTTATGTTTTTTAGCGTCATCTCTCCTCTTTTTATCAAACCGCCCGTGTATTTAGAATTCTGTGTATTCCGTTATCGTTTTAAGCACCTCTATTTTTGTTGTCGGAATGATGAACAGGCTGGTGATAGTGATTCAAGTTAAATTCAATGGATATTCCATGGGATGAGTTACAGCTTTCTTGGTGTTTAGATTATTTCAGCTAAATGTGTCTAGACAGACTTAAATATGGGACAACTAGTGTAATTAAATGTAACTCTGTTTGAATTTGTATAGATGGTGTTCTTCGATGACAAGATACGAACCACACAAATATCTAGTAGCTGTAATGTTTTCAGCAGATTCGTGCATTACTTAAGAGAGCATTTGGTAATGCAGTTACTTTCATTTTATTTTGGCTTCACAGACTACCATTTCATAACTCGATTTCATTTGATCACATTCTCAAGGACGACTTCTTTTGACTAATAATATTCTTTGAAGAGAGTATAGACCTAGATCCCAAAATTCATGATAAGAATAATGTACACACATTGAGAAGTCTCAAAAACAAAACTGTTGCCGCTGTTTTTCATGCACAGGTTGCTTTAGAAACAAAAATCCAGACTTCAGGGTGATACCTATGGTCATGTCTAAGTCTGTAGAAAAAGAAAGCTTTATTTTTTGAAATCCTTAAAAACTGTTGGAATTTACACTTCATCTTTCCAATTATTCGTTAGTCGTTCATTCAATAAATAGTGGGATGAGAATGATCTAATAATCACTAATAAATCGACTCGAAAAAGGATTGCAAAATAATGAGGTTTAGGATAGGAAGAAATCAAGATATGAAATATGACTATACATGTGGCGGATAGAAGGGGAACTCTAAAGAGCCTACGCGTATTTGTTAAATGACCTGGCGCTATTGAAACGTCAACAAATAATCCAAATTACGCTATGTCACATGCTTGTGATGAAGGAATAATTGTTGTTCATGTTTGATGCTTGATTTCGTCAAACTACATTTTATAAGCAACTACCAACATCCATGTTCGTCACCCCATTAATTAGGGAGGCGAATCAAACGGCCAATCCTAGGTCGCCTAGTAGCCCTAGTAGTTAGTGAAGTATTCATAGTTTGAATCTATGGTGGTGAAGTAAAACCATCTGATTTCAACGAAATATCCGCAGCAACTGTAACCGAGCTACAAGAATTGCTGACATTAGGGCTTTATGTAGATAAGCGTCAGGTACGTTTTACAGTTAAATTAGTTACTGTTATTTGTGACACTCTAGCTCGTAGCGAAGTCAGATATGTTGTTAAACACTACGTTATCGCTGGTTGTGACAACTGTCAGGATTCAGGGATACAACTAGGTGGTTGAATGACTTTCTCCAATGGTGAAAACGAATTGAGAAGTGACGTCATTTTCGTAGTAGGTCCCAATTCATCCATCATCCTAGTAGAAGTTTATGGTGTTTGTGTGAAATAATAATTCCTTTGTATTTGTTGAATGCTTGGTTTCGAATTCAAAATACAGTACATTCGTTCGTGCTCATCTAGTTCTTCATGATCCAATTGCATTATTTCTGGGATTCTTAGTTCGTACTATAATTCAAATACTCCTAATTATCATATTGGCGTCACGATGGAGCCTGCGATGGAATCGTTGGATATACATTCAAATCTTGATGCTTTTGAGGAATACTTCGAAAGGTTCGAAACCTGGGCTATGTCCAAAGAAGATGCTGAGGATGTTAATATTGTAACACATTTCCTCACATTCACCGGAAAAGAGCATACAGATTATTAAAAACTCTGGCTTTGTCGGAAAAGCCCATTTCGCTTTCTTATACAACTCTCAAGGATCTACTGCTAGACTATGTTAAGTATACAAATTTCGAACGTGGTAAAGGAGGAAGATTTCGTAAAATGATTCATGAGAATATAAAAAATTCCACTACATTCCGTCATCTCAACCCAGTGCATACTCAACGTTATGCAGATAATTCATTGAGAAGTTGCGATGCATTTCACCAAGATGGGCACAAGTTCGGTCTATGCTTGTCTTGTGGCAAGTTCCACTCTTTTAATTCATGTAAATTTCGTAATTCTAAGTGCTTTAAATGTGGTGATATTGGACATATTCATCTTGCTGCAACTAATATTAAGTCTTGTAATTCTGATTCCATTAAGTTGAGCATTTATAATGATCATTTATTTTCATCAACGATTTCAAAAGGCAATGTAGAGTCATATAGCAGTTCAGAGCTAAGTGAAATCAGAATCCTTGTGAGACAACAGTTTCTAATCAATCAACTTATCAGATTTCTCATATTATTGTACCAGATATGGGTTTTCCTAATGATTCACTTATTTCTGACGAAATTTCCTGCAAATCTGAGGAAAATATGTTGAATGAACCTAGTCATCATCGAAAAACTGATGTAGTTTTGATAGATGCTGGTTTTTCTAATGATCCTTCACTCTGCAATGACATTCTTAGTAAATTCGAGAAAACTATTTCAGAAGAATCAAATCTCGATGTCATATCAAATATTATCTGTCCTCATAATGCATTTGTTGCTTGTGGGAAACTTGTTCAATGAAAAGCACGAGTACTAAATGAGCTCGAGTTTGATTACATTTCGAATGATTTAATATCAACTTCTGTTTATCCTTATCACGAAATCAC